GAGGGGCAATGAGAGGGAGCTGGAGGTGAGCAGCTTTTCCTTCCGGGCTGAGGAAGGCTCCAGCGGCCTCCCTGCTCTCCAGACTTACGCACAAGACGGACGACAGGCATTCGCAGAGCCCGACTCCCAGTGCCAGGTACGGAAGGAGCCCTTCCTCAAACTGGGCCGTGCGGAAGACCTCGAAAGAGTAGAAGTAGATCTGAAAAAGCCAAGCAGGCAGGCAGGCAGGCAGGGTGAGGCCATGGCCGCCGGTGGGCCCCCAGATGGGAACGCACCAGCCTCTCGTGGTCCACCAGAGAGGCCGCTGCTGATGGGGGGGTGGGGAGGGGAGGGGAAGACGGACACCACGACTCAACTGCATTGATGCCACAGAGCTGCAAGGTGGTTATGACCGTGATGGTCACGTACAGCTGCCAGCGCATGGATCGGCTCCTCAGCACTTCAAGGACGCGGAGGCTTTTGGGGCTGGCCACGGCCGCCTTCTCCTTCTTCAGGTCCTCGATCTCAGCCCGATGGTCCCCCTCCCCCCAGAGCTGCTTGATGGCTGTGGCACGGAGGGAAGGGAGGGAGGGAAGGAGGTGAGGGGGGGCCACCCAGCAGAAAGAACCACCGACAGGCCCAAGGCCACCCAGCGGGTGTTGAAGGGTCTCCCAAGTTCTGGTCCGGCACTCGGCCCACAATGCCGGCCCTCAGGAACTGACAGGGAGCGGCCCAGGCTTGGGAACCCCCCCCCCCAGGCCTCGGGGTTTGCCGCCCCCAACGGGGGGGGGGGAACGTCATGATGGTTCTGGGGGACAAGGCACAGAATTCCTCCGCCCGTGACAGGAGGCGCCAGCGGGCTGGCCACTCATCTTCTGAAGATCCAGCACCCCCTACCTTTCAGGAAAGCTTCCTCGTTGCCTTTCTGTATCAGGAGGTAAGAGGGGGAATCCGGAAAGCAAGGGAGCACGGCGAGCTGGATCAAGGCCATGAGTCCACCGAAGGCCAGCAGGAATGGCCAGAAGGGCTCGCTGCCTAAGATTTCCCTGCAGAGAGAAAGAGGAGAAGGTGACTCCGAACATGGCAGAGAAGGAAGTCAATCCCTGGGGAAAGAGGTGGACGGGATTTTGCCTTCGACCCCGTTCGTTGGTGGTCTGGCCATCCTGGGACGTCACCCTCCAGGGCCCCGAAGGCGCCACACTTACCCGAGTCCAATCACTTGTCCGCAGACTTTCCCCAGGGTCAAGAAAACAGCCACTGTGGCGTTTGTGAATCCCCGCAGTTTCTTGGGCGAAATCTCTCCCACGTATTGAGGGTGGATGTTCAAAGCAAATCCTTTTTTTTTTTTTAAGGAAGAAGAAGCAGACAAGAGAGAAGATGATGGAACTATCTGGTGAAAACTCCCCTGCTGGGGCACCAGTCCTAAACTTACCACAAAACATGGGTTTTACTGGGAGGGTTACAGAGGAAGGCAGCCTAATCTGTATCTTTTTCCCCCCTCCAAAAAAAAAAAGTGTGGTGCTTGAGGCAAAATGACAGAAAGGGAAGTAGCTTTGCCTGGCAGCCCTGCCGGCCTCGGGAGCTGGAACACTGAGGTGCCCACCCTGGATGGGGGCACAGCCCTTCACAGCCGGGTTATGCCCAGCTGGCAGGGTTAAATGAAAGCTGGCCCAGCGCAGGCCACGGAGGGATCCCTGTGTACCGGTGCCAACGCCATAGAGGAGGCGCCCGAGGAAGACCATCTCAAAGGACCCGGCCCTCTTGCTGAAGCCCATGATCAGGGCAGCCACCAGCAGGATCACGTTGGTGAGCATCTGGCACTTCTTTCTGCAACCGGAAGGGAACACGGAGGTCAGGAGGGTCGTCGGAGGCCCAAGAGTTCCCGTCAGACCAACCAAGGCTCCTCTCTGGAACCACATGGCTGGCTGACAGCAAGGCGGGCTTTGTGACCCAACGAGTGGGGAACGCAGGCACTGCTTTGCAAAC